TGTAAACAAAGTCACATTCTGTGATGTTCTTGGTGGACGTGAGTTTCAAGGAGACACTGTTCAACCATGCAGCTCTTGCACAGCTGTTCTGATGCTCATTCACCAGTCCCTCACCAGGGTGAGCCAGGACCAGCAAACAGCCTGGCAGGAGCTGGACCAGATGACAAATCAGAGTGGCTTGGGGCCAGTGCCGTGGTGTATGTATTAGGTAAGCTTCCACATGTGGTGCTGACATCCCATGTGGGCGCCAGTTCATGTCTGAGCTGTTCCACTTCCAATCCAGCTCCCTGCTTATGGCCTAGGAAAACAGCAGAGGGCGGTCCAAGTCCTTGGGACCCTGTAACCTCATGGGAGACCTGGAGGAGGCTTCTGGCACCTGGCTTTGGACCGGTTCTCACCGTGGTGGTGGTATTGCACCAGTGGATGGAAAAACTCTCTCTCTGTCTCTACTTTTCTCTGCCTTTTGAATAAAAATAGAATAAATCTTTTTTGAAAAGTTGGAGTTGCAGACACCATGCTTTACTCAGTCTTCATTCAAGCTCGTCTTTCTGCGGCCACCAACCAGTGTGTCCTAACTTTTAAAAATGTGTTTTTCCCCAGGGACTTACCTTCCCTGTTCATGTGGTGTATGTGGTCACATAATCTATATCTAGGTTTAAACTGGAGATGAGTGAATATAGGTTTAGAAGAGCTGCCAACTCATATGCTTCTGCTGCTTGTTAAAGGTGATGGAGCGTTGAACTACTTCACTTCTTCTGTCTTCCAATTCCCACACGTGGCCACTCATTGAATAGATCCTGGGTGCTGCCACAGCACAGAAGGATTTAAAATCTGTGTAGGTGGCTATATGGATTATGCCAGGATCATGGAGGATTTCAATGGTCTTCTCTAATGAGTCTTATTTTGCTTTGTAAAGACACCTGATCTATGTCGATATGAAGGGAGACTCGTGGCTGGCTATAAGGATCAAGGATGTTAATGATGGGGAAAAAATGCGAGTCGATAACTGCAAACTTATCCTTTCATACGCTTAAAGAAAAGCAGACTCCAAACTTAGGATGCATGGTCTGATAAGAGCAAGGAATCCCATTTTTCTGGTGGGTGGTTCCCCAAGTTTGTTACCCACTTGACAAGTAAAATTGACCCAGGCACAGCCAAGACCTTAGGGACTGGTGTGACGAGCTGGCCAGAATTCCATCAGTTTTGCTAAGTACCTCAGAGCCAGTCATATTGTCACCCTGTGTGACTTCTGACATCGTGGAGCCAGGTCTTTCCCAATCAGGTGAACTTGCATGCGAAGTAGGGGGAGGGGGAGGGACTGTGGCAGGGGAGGCTTTCCACTGAGGGTTTTTTTTGTTGTTGTTTGTTTTTTTGAGTGTGTATGGAGACACTCTGATCATACAACCTCTGTTTGGGAGTTTTGTGGACGTGACAGAGAAAAACCTTCCACGTGGCAGCACCCAGATGGTGTGGTTGGAGGAAGCTATTGCACTATCCCAGTGTCTTCTGGGGGTCAGCCACTTGTATGTTTTCTGGGGGTCAAGGAGAAAGGCTAGAACCCTCTGGTGATTCCACTTCAGGTCCTGGCATTCCGAGGATGTGGTTACCTCCTTTTGTAACACTCCCTCATGTCCAGGCTGTCGTCAAACCCAACTGATCCCATTCTCATAATCTGGCTCTTGTTCCCATAAGCATAGGGATGGCAGGTCACATCCTGCAAGGGCCCAGTGTGTAGCACCCAGCACCATGTGCCCAGGCCCCGAGGGACTCCCTCACCCAGAGTCCAGGGCACCCTGGCAGCTTAGAGATCCTCATCAGAAAGGAGGATGCAGCTGCTGGGCACACAGGAGGGATCTGAGCAGTGAGCACGATCATCACCCCTACCTAAAACCCAACATGACTCATTTACAGGGTCAAGTCGCCACAGATGGTGGGTGGACTGAGAATGATGTGAGGAGGGGAAGGCACGAGCAGACGGGAGAACTTGTTTAAGGGACCCAGGAAGTAAGGTACACAGTGTTCCACTGCAGGGTGTTGGGGTGGGGGTGGGTGGCAGCTGTGGGCCCTGTCTCCAAGGGCTTCCCAAACAGTGGGGCTGATGAGGGGCAGGTGGGTGTAGTACTGCCTTCTGCGAGGCTCACGGTGCTGAGCCATGCTGTGGCTTCAGAAATCTGTAATCTGGTTTCCTTCTGAACCCGTGACTTAGCCTTTGTGGGACTCTGGGCACATTACTCTTGAGTTGCCGGTTTCACATCTCTAAATGAGGGACAATAATATCTACCTCTGAGGCTTGCGGTGAGGCCCAAATAGGTCACAAGTGAAAGCGTCCAATAGTCTCTGGCACGTTGGATGCGTTTGGTCAATGTTGGTGCACTATTAATACCCCAGTTTCAGACATACTCGGGAATGCCCAGAGCACAGCTGATGCCGAATGGAGTTCTATTGTCATTTTAAGCATACACACAACACTTTTCATTTTGAAATATTTTAGAGATGTTGTAAATGTGCCAGGGAGTTACCCTGTAGTCTCTCCCTCTTTCCCTAATGTGAATGTCTTACATAACCATAGTACAAAGATCAAAACCAGGAAATTAACAATGCCACGACACTGTTTACTGAACTTCAGACTATGAGTGTCACCAGCTTCCCCCAGCCGCCCTTTTCTGTCCCACATCCCAAGTCAGAATTCTGGGTTCTGTCTATCTGGTTGCTGTATGCCCCCGGAGTGACAGTTCCTGCAAGTTTCTGTCTTTCCTGACCTTGATACTCTTCAGGGGCACCGATTGGTGACTCTGTAGCATATTTGTCCATCTGGGTTCATCTGATATTTCCTCATGATTGGTTTAGCCACATACTTTTAGCAGGCGTTGCAACAGTGTATTACTTTTAGCGGCCTCCATTGGGCTGTGGTAAAATAGAGAAAACAACACATTTACCATTTAAAACAGTATTTACTCATTGGAATGGCAGAGAGAGAGGGAGAGACAGAAAAAGAAAGAAAGAAGCTTTCTATGGGATGCTGGTGGCCCAGGTTGTGGGGTTATCTGCCATGTCACAAGGTCAGTCCCACTTTATTTTATTATTATTTCTGACATTTTAGGTGTTGATTCAGTGGCATTAAGCATATCAGAGTGTTGTGCAATCACTATGTAATTCATAATGCTGCATCAACTCCATCTACTTTCAGACTTTTTCATCATGACAAAAGGAAACTATAAACCCATTATAATGCAATCCTTCCCAGTTCTTCCTCCTTCAGCTTCTGGCAACCACTAGCCTGTGATCTGTCGAGGTGGGGTTAGCTGTTCTGGACATGTCACGTGGATAGAATTAGAGGAGTTAGTGTGTTGCTGACTGGCTACTTAGCATGAAGTTTTGAAGGTTCATCCACCTTGCAGGGGTCAGTACTTCCTTCCTGGTAATGCTCCACTGGATGCACCACCGTTGGCTTTACAGGGTTTGTGTTTGTCACGTGGCAGTGTTTATGGGGCAAGGAAAGCAGACTCTTGTGAAAAGTTTTATTTGTGGAAAGGGAAAGAACAGTTGTTCCTGAGTCAGGGGAGAAGGGCCCACGGCTGGAGGGGGTGGCCCTCAGTGGCATCTGCCGTGGCCTGAGGGGGTTCAGGGTGGGGCGCCTGGTGCCACGGAGGACGCGCGCTGACTGCTGAGAGGCGAATCCAACTGTTGAAAACTTGGACTTATCCAAAAGGTGTGGTGAGGGAGCGGGTGAACATTCCTGATCTCCCAAGCGCTGCGTCCCTGCTGCTGCTGCTCTTCCTTCACCCTGGGGTCTGGGGCTCGTGGCCGGGCAGGTGGTCTCCGCCTACCCGGATGCCCGACCCTCAGTGTCCGCCTCCGGCAGCCTGGGCGCGACGCGACCCGGGGCGGAGGGCGGAACCGAACGCACGCCCGCCCCGCAGCCCCGAGCCCGGCGCGCCCCAAGCCTGGGCGGCGCGCGCGCCCCCCTTCCCCCGCCGCCGCCTGCGCGCGCCCGGGGTCGGCGGCGTGCGCGGGCCGCGCGTGCGCGCTGCGGCGGGGCGAGGGGCGGCGCGGGCGCGCGTCTGTCAGTGACAGCGGGAGGGGGAGGGGGAGGGGGCCGGAGATGGTGGCGGCCGCGGCGGCCGCTCTTCCGACATGAGGCAGCGGCCGCGGGAGGGACGGCGGCGGGCGCGGCCGCGGCTGCATCTGTAGCTCGGGAAGGCGGCCCCCGGGCGTGGGCGCGGCGGCGGGCGTCCCGGCCGGCGTCGCGGGAGCCCGGCTCAGCGGCAGCCCCGCACCGCCGCCCGGCCGAAGGGGCCCGCGCCGCTCCGGCGGCCCCGGCGAGGCGGCAGCGTGCTCGGCGGGGCGGTGGGCAGCAGGCCCCGCTAGACGGGCCACGCCGACGCCGCTTGGCCCGCCCGGCGGGTTCGTCAGACTCGCGGGCCGGGGCGCACCCCTCAGCCGCGGGCAGGGCGGGCCGGGGAGGCTCGGCCGCCGGAGGGTTGGGGTGGGGGGGAGGGAGAGGCACGCGGCCAGAGCCGTAGGACCGGCCCGCGCGTCCCCTTGACGCAGCGGCGCCTCGGGTGCGGGATGAGGGGCCGCCCGCCGCCCGCCGACTTGTTTTCGCGAACCCCGGGAGCGCTTCAGGGCTGAACTTCCCTGCGGAGCAGCCGCCGGAGCCACGCTGAGGCCCCCTCACCCGGTCGCCCCCGAGTGGCCAGAGCACCTCAGCGAGCCGGACTGAGGGGCGGCCGCGGGACCCCGGTTTTTCCAGGTCGGTCCTGAATCGGCTCTCGCCCGTCCGGGGAGGGCAGCTGGTGGGGCTTTTTGGTTCGCTTCTCCGGGCAGTTGTTGTGATCCTACGGTGCCTCTCCGGGGCGCTCGCCGGCGCTGCCGCCACCGCTGCGGACGTGCCCGGCTCGCGCGGCCCCCGGGACGCGTGTGTATGTGCGTGTGGTGGGGGTGCGGGGGGTGGGCGTGTGTCGCAAGCCGACCCTAACTCTCGGTCGCTCCGCCGACAGGTACGAGCGACCGGCCGAGGAGGCTCCGAGAGCCGCAACATGGCTTCCCCGCCCCACCAGCAGCTGCTGCATCACCACAGCACCGAGGTGAGCTGCGACTCCAGCGGCGACAGCAACAGCGTGAGGGTCAAGATTAACCCCAGGCAGCTGTCCTCCAGCAGCCAGCCCAAGCACTGCAAGTACAGCATCTCCTCCAGCTGCAGCAGTTCCGGGGACTCCGGTGGCGCTCCCCGGAGAGTGGGCGGCGGCGGCAGTGGCGGGGGCCGCCTGAGACGGCACAAGAAGCTGCCGCAGCTGTTCGAGAGGGCCTCGAGCCGCTGGTGGGACCCCAAGTTTGACTCTGTGAATCTGGAGGAGGCCTGCCTGGAGCGCTGCTTCCCGCAGACCCAGCGCCGTTTCCGGTACGCACTCTTCTACGTCGGCTTCGCCTGCCTGCTCTGGAGCATCTACTTCGCCGTGCACATGAGATCCAGGCTGGTGGTGCTGGTGGCGCCCGCCCTGTGCTTTCTTGTGGCGTGCGTCGGCTTCTTTCTGTTTACCTTCACCAAGCTGTACGCCCGGCACTATGCGTGGACGTCGCTGGTTCTTACCCTGCTGGTGTTCGCCCTGACCCTGGCTTCCCAGTTTCAGGTTTGGACGCCCCTCTCAGGACGCGTTGAGGGCTCCAACCACACTCCCGCTGCCAGGCCCGCAGACGCGTGCTTATCCCAAGTGGGCAGCTTCTCCATGTGCATTGAAGTGCTCTTCCTGCTCTACACCGTCATGCACTTACCTTTGTACTTGAGCTTGTTTCTGGGGGTGGCCTATTCCGTGCTTTTTGAGACCTTGGGGTACCACTTCCGGGACGAAAGCTGCTTCCCCTGGCCTGCCGTGCCAGCCCTGCACTGGGAGCTGCTGAGCAGGGCCCTGCTGCACCTGTGCATCCACGCCATCGGGATCCACCTGTTCATCATGTCCCAGGTGAGGTCCAGGAGCACCTTCTTGAAGGTGGGGCAGTCCATCATGCATGGGAAAGACCTGGAGGTGGAAAAAGCCCTCAAAGAGAGGATGATTCACTCTGTGATGCCAAGGATCATAGCCGACGACCTGATGAAGCAGGGCGACGAAGAGAGCGAGAACTCAGTCAAGAGGCACGCCACCTCGAGCCCCAAGAACAGGAAGAAGAAGTCTTCTATCCAGAAGGCTCCCATAGCATTCCGCCCTTTCAAGATGCAGCAGATCGAAGAGGTCAGCATTTTGTTTGCGGACATCGTGGGATTCACCAAGATGAGTGCCAACAAATCTGCTCACGCCCTGGTGGGCCTCCTGAACGATCTCTTTGGCCGCTTCGACCGGCTGTGCGAGGAGACCAAGTGTGAGAAAATCAGCACTCTGGGAGACTGCTACTATTGCGTGGCGGGGTGCCCCGAGCCCCGGGCCGACCACGCCTACTGCTGTATAGAGATGGGGCTGGGCATGATCAAAGCCATTGAGCAGTTCTGCCAGGAGAAGAAAGAAATGGTGAACATGCGCGTCGGGGTCCACACGGGGACTGTCCTGTGTGGCATACTTGGCATGAGAAGGTTCAAATTTGATGTGTGGTCCAATGATGTAAATCTGGCCAACCTCATGGAGCAACTGGGAGTGGCAGGCAAAGTCCACATTTCTGAAGCAACCGCAAAGTACTTAGATGACCGGTACGAAATGGAAGATGGCAAAGTCACTGAACGCCTAGGCCAGAGTGTGGTGGCTGACCAGCTGAAAGGTATGTGTGTTTCTCTGCTTTGTCATGTCATTCCCCGATCCTGTTTGTAACACGTTAAAAAAAAAAATCTGTCTTTTCAGCCTCGGTGTCCAGAGGTGGCTCGGTTGTCTCAGGATACCCTTCCCAAGGGGGAGGGAACAGCGTGACTGTTCCCCAGTGAGTCAGATAGCCCAGGTCTGTTCACACTGCAGGCTGCAGACAGGGACACCCAGATAGTGCTGACCCAGACGAGGCCCTTGGAAGGAGGGCTCCACTGCCTGCTGCTGTTGATCCCTGAAATCTGGGGGAGTCGGGGCATCAGGCCCTTCAGCAGCAATTAGAAGCTTTTAGCACTTGAAAGAAATCACCTTGGCGGTTCACTTGGTCACCTTTCAGTCCCATCCAAATATTTCTTTGTGCCTTTGTAAGAGGGAAAAAAAAGTGACAAGTGAACCTTTCCTTTCTCCAGGCCGCGCTCTGCGTATCCTCTGTCGGGGGAGGACAAGGGCCCTGCCCTGCCGGCTCTCAGGAAGGGACGGAAGTGCATGCTGTGCTTTGCTGCTTCTTGCTGCCCGCTGTCCCTCTTACAAAATATTTGTGTCTGCAGCTTTCAACTTTCATCTATGTAACGGTGTCTTGTTATGGTGTTTGTCTTGCCACACAGACTCCAGTGTTTCAGAACATTCAACTTTTCAAGCCACCAAGCGATTTGAAAGTGAGAAATGTACCCAAATGAAGGCGTTACTGATAGTTTTGATGTTTTTACTGAGCTAGTTTTCTTTTTCTTTTTTTAAAAAAATTTTACAGGTAGCAAAAATCTGAGGTCTGGGAAGCGATGTAAGAATAAATGGGGCCAAAAAGGAGGATTCAGAGTAATCTTATTACATTTCTTGTCTTCTCTTACCCTCTATCAAACAGTCTTTTTGTCTTACTAGTATCTTACACAGTGAGGGGAATATCTACTTTGAAATACATAGAGGTAAATAACGTTTAGTTTATGAAGCCTGTTTTGTAAAGCTGTGTTGTCTTTCTGCAGTTCTCACACTGCAGTTCAACCGCCGCCCGCCCAGCAGGAATTCTGAGGAGAGCTAATGGTTTAAACCAGAGACAGCAAGTGACTGAGCTGGAGCTTGTGTAGGTTTTTGGCTTTGAAGTGATCCCACATGCTTAATGGGCATCTTCTTTCTCTGATTTGTGATCTGAGTTCTCCCCATCATTTTTTATTTCTTTGTTTTTATCATTGTTGTCTGACAAGGATGTTTTGTTCTTTTCCTGTTTTTCTTTATGGTATTGATTTTCTTGGTATAGTAGGAGTTCCTTTAACCTCAGAAACTTTAAATGCTGCATCAACAACGTTGGAAGCCACATCTTGCAGTTCACTTGGAAGATTCTGTTGTGATAGGTGTCTTTCTTTTAAGAGGGTGGCCACCTGCTCTTGAGCCTGAAGGTGGAGTATAAGTGGGTGCAATTCCTGCTTGTTGTTTTGGCGTCTTCAGGTCCCAGTGGTTTGGGGCCTGTTCTCAGGGATTGCAGAGCACCTGTTGGGCAGAAGGGCACTGATAGCGTGGTTTTATTTTTTTTTGTAAGTTGGCACTTGGTCATGTATATTGTTTGAATTCCAAAAATAATAGCAAGTATAGTTACTGTCGTTGAATGATTGGTCACTAAAACAACAAAACAAAACAAAACAAAACATACAGATTGAGGGTCTCAAAGATGTTGATTGAAAAAAACGTCCAAGTGAGCTTGTTTTTTTCTTGCTTATTTAGTGTCAGTTTGGTTTAAATTAAACTTTTCCTTAAGTCTGTAACATTGTGTATTTCTAAAGGTGGGAAGCTTAGCTGAGCCATTGATTTTTTGAATGTGGTGTTTCCTATTTTGATTGTCTCCCTGACATGGGGGCCTTTGCTTTCCTCAGCTAATTCTGAGGACCTTGTGGGCAGGATCCCAGTGATAGAGACTATGCAACTTTGGGAGCTTCTTTGACGCTGTTGGGATTTTGTGCAGGCTGCTGGATGAGCTGAGGGCACAACTGCGGGGAGATTTCATGCCCACGGTCCAGCTTACACGTGAAAGGTTTGTTTTCGCCTCTTATCTTTACCTTGTTTCCCCTTTTCTGAAAATACAGTGAAAAACTGCCTAGTAGAGGACTCTGCATCAGTCGTCTGAACAAGAATTTTAGAATTAGCTTGGCAGCTCCTGTCTGATTTATCTGAACTGGTCTAGAGGAAGGGTGGGTGAGGTTTAATTACTTCTGCAAATTTACACATACATCCCAAGATCATTATGGTCCGCCTACTATTCCTGCCTGGCACTGTGGATGTACAGATTTATCGGTGACCATCCTGACCTCAGCAAGCTCTCAATTGCAAATGTCACAGAATATGTGGGAGAGTTGGGGTGCTTTCATGAGCTGTGGGCATTTGAGCTTAGATCCTGAGATCAAGCTGTGGCCGTCTAGACAAAGGAGGGACATGGGATGGGGCGTGCCTAGCGTGGCAGAGGCCGATTTCTCACTGGGGTTGGCAGTTGTTCGTAGTCATCAGGACAAGAAAGGCTGTGGGTATGTGAGAATTAGGGAGCCATGGATGGGCTTAAAAATATATAAGCCTTAGGTGATCTGATGTGTGGTTTTAGAAGAAGCTTGCTCCTTTAGTCCTAAGGAATGTGGTTGCATGGATGTGAGATTTGAAATTGATGAGCTGTTTGAATAAATCCCAGATAGGGTGATCTGAACTATGCTAACAGCAGTGGTGGTAGAGAGTATGGGACAGGTGTGTGTAGCAGTAAGATCAGCTTTGGGGGGCGTTTGAAGATGAAACCAACTACATTCCATATCAGAGTACTTGTTTGATAGGCAGAGAGAGACACAGGTCTTCCATCTGCTGGTTCACTTCACAGATCTCCACAACTGGGACTTCCCAGTAGCAGCTTCCTGAGTGGCAACTCCACCTGCTGACCGCAGTGCCAGCAGGGTTTTAAAACAAAGATTTTCCCTCAGCCCAACTGTGGACTTATGGAGAGTACTGGGGGGGGGGGGGGGGGGGAAGGTGTTCACTGATAATGTGTTTGGACCCTGTGGCCACCTCTGTGGCTGACACATGGCCTGTCCTAATAGGTGGCACTTAGAAGCGTTCCTGCTGAGCTTTAGGACCACTCCTCAGTCTGGCAGTGTGGGTGGAGGCACTTGGCCTTCAGCCTTTGACGACACCTGTCCCAAGCTGGAAGTCTGTGCTCCCTGTGTCCTTCGGCGTGGGCCCAAGGACCCTGGTCAGGTGGTGGTTTTGGTGCAGCTGCACACTCAAGTGCTTCCCCTACTTGCCACTCTGGCTTGGATAATTGTCCCCATCTCAGCATGTCACTCTTGTCGCTGTGGGGCTGTTAGCTAACAGCTCAGTGTGCCCTCTTGGGAGTTCTGTGCTGACCTGAGTTCCTGAGCCTGCTCTCTTGTACACATTGAAACTCAGCCTCTTGGGTAACGAGTGAGTGGCAGAGATGGGATGAAGTAGAGACCATGGCCCGACAGTTGGGATAGGAGGCAGCAGACAGCTGTGGAATTGACAGAGTGGGTGCTGAAACAGCCACTGTGACAGTTTGGGGACCAAAGTACATGGCTTTTAGTAATGTACTCATTACTTTTAATTCTGAAGACAAGCTGTGGTGAGAAATTAACCTTTGGCAAAGATAGGGAGAAAATTTGTTGAATTACTGGTCGAATAAGAAGGAAAGAAGGTAATAATTTCAGGCAGAAATTGCTAAGAAATGGAAATACTAAAAGGGAAAAATAGACTAAGGGAAGAAGTCTCAGGTTTCTAACCTACTAGATAGCCTGGTTAGCTTCCATTTGTGTTTCTGTCTCTTCTGGCCAATGTCACCTTTGTACTTTGCTATGCAGTAATATCCAGAAGAAAAAATACTGCATTTTCCATGTTTGCACACATGAGTTTCTGTGCACATGTGAGCATATTTATGCTTAAATTCTTTCCATTGGTGGGTGGTGTTTCTCTCAGGATTTAGGAATTGTAAGATATGGTCATCCCTAGACTTGTGAGGCTCAGTCTCCCTGGGGCAAGGGGGAGCACTGGGAGAGCTGGCCTGAATGACATGTTGTCCATTTGTCTCTAGACATGCCTTTGTACTTTGCGTATGAGACACTTAAAGTCCTTTTCCAACAGGAACTAGCGTCATTGAAAGGAATTTTATGAAGAGGTGGCAGTATTTGAAACAGGAAGACAGCTGACGTGTGAACTCGACTGGCCAGGTCCAGGAGCTGCTGTAGAGAAGAAGTGGAGGACTTGAACCATGTCAGGGAGAGAGTTGGCCTTGGTGGATGGCCAGGGCCACTGTTGGCAGAGGAAGGGTCCGGGGAGGGCTAGCTTTCCCTAGAGCAGCTGGAGGAAGCAGTGACATTCTTGCCAGCTTCATTGATGCACTGGGTAAGAGCTCTGCCTGCCATGCCAATCTGTAGCAAAGCCCAAGTCAGCTTTGGCAAAAGAGACTACACTGCAGAAATTCACAGCTTTTGAGCATCGACTTGTGGTACATCTCTAACCATTTTTAGCCTCATTCTTGTGACAGATGCCTGGTACCCTCTCCAGGGAATTAAGGGAAGATGCTCAGTCCTTTAGATAGGAGCCTGAAGTCCCTAAAAGTTGGTGGTGGTGGCAGAAGCACTGTGGCAGTGGCCTTGGCCCACAGGGCAGGGGGCTGGCAAGCATGAAGGGGTTTGAGAATGGGGTGAAGTCTTGGGACTGGGGTAGTTGGGGAAGGCTGTAGCTAGCACAAGACTTCCTGTAAGCTATAGTTCTTAGATCTTTTGGTTTTATTTTTTATTTTTATTTATTTTTTTTAAGATTTATTTTATTTTTATTGGAAAGGCAGATATACAGAGAGGAGAAACAGAGAGGAAGATCTTCCATCTGATGATTCACTCCCCAAGTGAGCACAACGGCCGATGCTATGCCGATCCAAAGCCAGGAGCCTCTTGCGGGTCTCCCACGCGGGTGCAGGGTCCCAAAGCTTTGGGCCGTCCTCAACTGCTTTCCCGGGCGGGGAGCTGGAAGGGAAGTGGAGCTGCTGGGATTAGAACCAGCGCCCATATGGAATCCCAGGCGTTCAAGGCAAGGACCTTAACCACTGCGCCACCGCACCGGGCCCGATCTTTTGGTTTTAGACCCATTTATGCTCCCAAACATTATTAATGGAGCAGCTAAATAGTTTTTGCTTATGAAACCTACTAATTTATAACATATAATATTAGTGATTGCAACAAGCTGAGAGGTTAAAAAGTTTGCTTAGTTGAGCATAGTATTTGGCACAGTGGTGAAGACGCTGCTTGGGATCCCTACATCCCGTATGGAGTGTGTAGTTCTAGTCTGGACTCTACTTCTGATTCTAGTTTCTTGCTGTAGTGATGGCTCAAGTACTTGGATCCCTGCCACCCATGTGGAGAACCCAGATTGAGCTCCAAGCTCATTGCTTCGGTCTGGCCTGGTTCTTGTGGCAGATGTTTGGGGAGTGAATCAGTGGGTGGACAAACTCTTAGACAGTCTGTCTTAATTTTTCTCTTTCTGCTTTTCAAAAACATAAATAAAAAATTACTTAATTCATTTCAAAGTATTAACATGCATAACTTTTTATAAAAATACCTTTTTTGAGGATACAAAAGAAATTTGTTGAGTATAGATGCATCATTTTACGTTATTGCAGATTCCTTTAATATCTGAATTAATAAGTTCTGAGTTAAAAAGTTATAAAAAATCTGTCATTTTAATGATTTTGAGTATATCAGATTAACTGCTATTCAGTCTGTTACAGTACCTTGAAAAATGTGTAGAAAATTGCCTTTCTAGAGATATGTAATTGGAAAATAGAGGAACATTCTAACAGCCTTCTTAGATAATTGTGGATATATTTTTCTGGTACTGCCCCATCACTAAAAAAGGGATAGTTTCTTAATGGTCAGTTATAACATGGAAACTAAAAATCCTATTATCAGTGTTTTGTACTCCGTGATGTTAAGCTCCAATGCATTTTTAAGTGACTGTCTTACCAAGGTATGATTTTATAGCATTGTGCCTTGGTCATGTGGAAAATATTGGTTTCGTGAGTTATGCAGATTTCCACAGGCTGACATCAGGAAAGTCTTTAAATTTTGGATGGATGGTGATTTCACATTTCACAGTGGTTGATGTGAAGTTTCCAAACTTTTTTGTTAAATTTTAATTTATCATCAACAACAAATACTGTCAGTTGTTTTCCTTGATGTAATTTTTCTAGGACAGTCCACCAGTTCTCAAGACTAAACAGCCGTGGTCTGTATCTCCATGAATAAAACAACTGGTTCAACTTGCAGTCCAAACAGTTATATAGCTGACTCTCCTGAAAACCATTATTACACTTTAGCGTGCTGGGAATGTGTACCCCTTTCTCTTACAGACTCTTGTAATACAAGACACATACCCAGGGTTGAGATTTAATACTGTTATTAATTCTATAGCTTCCTCAAGCTCTTTCTTTCTTTAGAAACATGGTCGATTCACGCAATTTTTCTTGTGCAAACAGCCTGTGTGCAGCTATACCTGGAGCCTGGGTCCTCTGCCCAGGTGCTATGGTGTGGGCATCTTTACATGGTGGTCAGGGAATTCCTGATAGGGAGACTGTGTCCTCAGGTTGGGGGATCAGAGAACTGAAAAGCCTCTAAGAGGGCCTCTGAATTGGCATGGGGAAAGTCGCTGGGGTGGCAGTGCAGTCGCCAATTGAGGGGTGGCAGCTGCCAGTGCCATCCATTGGCAGCAGATTCTTGGGCACCGGGGTTGAGAGGATGCCTGTGCTTGTGGGGCTTGGAGTGAGGGTCAGGGGCAGAGTCACAGCAGCCTGTCCCCTTGCAAGGCACAGTGTGGAGCTTGCCTGTCTTTGCCCTCAGTACCCTTTGCTCATGGACACAATGGAGAGCTTGGTCAGGATAGTGACCCCCTTAGATAACAGTAGCTATGTCCTTGGAGCACTCAACAGACCATTGTGTAGTCCCTGATGGTGACAGATGGCTGTGAAAAGACCACGTGAAATGGCCCGTAGTCCACAGTGGCATCGGCATCCAGGGCTTGCTACACACCTCAAGGAAATAGAGGCCACCATGAGGCCAATCTGAAGTCCCAAAAACATTCTTTCCCTTTCTCCCCACTACGAAAGTCACAGAAGTGAAACTACACCGAGGATGTTCTCAGGAGGTGCTGCCTGATTTTTCCTTTGGCGAACGTGCCGTGGCTGGGAGCACGTTGACTGCTGGTGCACCCTGGCTTACGGCACTGGCAGTATTACACGCTGTTGCTTCTGCATCATCACCACATGTGTCAACATGGAAAAAGGCAAATAACGTCCTAGTCTTAGTATGAAAGTAGCTCTCAAGCATTATTTATTTATTTAAAAGGCAGAGAGACATGCAGAGCAACCGAGTACATGCCGAGTTGCAGAGTCACAAGTGCAGCCTGTGTGCATGTCCCCGTCGCACCAGGGAAAAGCACCCTCACAGACACCCTGCACAGGCCTGGACATCACCCGCTTTGAGAACTGCTTCCCTGTGCCGTGAAATGGGAAGACGGGTGTGTATCACATGAAACAGCTCAGACTAAACTAATGACAGGCATTTCATATTTACTGTAGAAGCAGAAAGTGACTTTAGTTCATGCAGTTGCTTCTTCTTTTTTTAAATTCAATCCTTGAAAATGCTTTGTGATTCTGCTGAGTATCTGTTGCTGGTATACAGAGGTCACAATAAAGACAATCAACTTTGTATATTTTTCTTGAAGGATTTTACTCTTTAGCAATATGATTTAGTGGTTAGGTACATAGTTTTTTTTTTTTAGGACTTGTGTATTTATTTAAAAAACAGTTACAGAGAGAGGGAGGGACAGGGAAGTGGGGGAGGGGCACTAGGCCAGGCTGAAACCAGAAGCCTGGAACTCCATCTAGGTTTTCTATGTGGGTGGGTGCTAGGGGCCCAAGTTCTTGGGCTATCATATGCTGCTTTCCCAGGCACGTTAGCAGGAAGCTGGATTGGAAGTGGAACTGGGACTTGAATGGATGTTTTAACCTACCACAGCACAGTGTAGGCCCTATGGATTCTGATTTCTGATACGTTAGGATTCAGTTCTGTAGTTCTGTAGTTTCTGAGCTGTGGGGCCTCAGACAAGCTACCTGAAGGCTCTGCAGTTTGTAGGAATGGCAGAACCTCTGGCATAGTGATATTGGGAGAATCTAATAAGAAAATCCAAAGAAAACACTTACTAGTGATTCAATGGTCCCAAGTAAGAACCAGCTCTTCCATGTGAGTGAGTCATGTACTGCAGTAAAATATGTTTTTTTTTCTACACTCGTGTTTGGTACACACCTTGTATAATTTCCTGCTGAAATACAGAATACCCTGGGGACTGTGATTGTGTCAGTTTATCCAGTAAAAAAGGGCAAGTGTCCGAAACACAAAACACTGATATCTTGCCCTGGTTAAACTGTAGCTGGCAAGTTTGGCAGTTTCTGTACAGAAAACCCTGGGGAGCCCAGGCAGCATTGTTCTCGGGCCATTCAGGCCCTCAGAGGTTTGAAGTACTTAAGATGATGTGGCCTTTGATCATTGAGGAATTATGGGCATATCTTTCACTTTATGTCTCTGGAGGTAGTGGTAGAGGGTTGAACTAGAGCGGTTACTCAGCTCTTCTGTATTGTACTGTAAATTCATTTATTCAATATTGAGTGAGTTCATGCGATTTGTGAGGTTTGGACTGGGTTCTTGAGATAAGAGTCAAGGCTTTGGCTTTGGCCTCATGGAGTATGCAGCCTAGAAAGGGGAAGGAGAGACAAATTAAACAAACTTCTAAACGAATAGGCAGTAGATGTACCAAATGTGTAGAAACAGGGCTGGGAGCTACCACCTGTTTTATAGGTGAGCAGACTGAGGCACAGAGAGGTTAAGAAAACACCAGTCATCACACAGCCAGAGAGAGCTCCTAAGTGATGGAACAGGGTTGAAACCCAAAGGACTATGTTGGAAAACACTAGCACCCTGTCTTACAGACTCATTGTAAGGCTTGAGTGAGTAAATGCGGGGATCAGATTCCTTTGCTGCTGTTACTGACTCCGGGGACTGTTCCCTCAGCGGCACACTGTTCTTGGGCTGTTTCCAGTGCACCAAGTGCTCTGGGTCACCGTGTATCTCGGGGTCACAGGAGCTTTGACTTCAGAGATGTATGTGTTACCGGCTTCTTTCCCTGCACATATCACTTCTCAGACCGAGTTGGTTTCTTCACAGCCCCCAAAGCTGAGCAGTGGCTTTACTCAGGAATCAGTATAAACTCTTGGGTCTTCCTTGTCGGAGACTGTTACCGTTGATGCAGAACTTGTCCCATCTTGGACCCTCAGGAGCCCTTTCACATTGGCCCCAGTGCTGTTCCCCAGCCCCAACAGTCTCTGATAACTTTTATACCCATTTAGTAACACTTTCAAGGAATAGAAAAATTATGGGTATTAAAATCTCATTAATTCTGTTTGGTGTATTTCTTCAGAGAGACTGAGCTAAAGTTTACCCTGTTCTGTCTTGAAAAGAAAATTAATAGCATATTTGTGTTTATAAGAAGACACAATGTCACAGAAGGAACGCTGTGCACGTCCTCACACTCCTTGGAAGCTCTAATTTGCATTCTTAGAATTGACAGTTACAAAGTAGTGCAGTGTCTCTTTCTGCGGCATCTTCCCACTAATGCCTGCCAAGGAAAGGTATAGGTAAATAGTGGTAAAAAAAAAAAAAAAAAAAAAGCAACAGAAAGAAGATGTCCCAAATGCTAGTGGTGATTATCAGTTTACACACTGAGTGGTACAGCCAGCCCCCATCGTCAGGATGGCTGTGGAAGATTCTAGAAGACCCAACTCCAGGGATTTCCCCTCTGAGGGACATTGCTCCCAGCAGCAGCTTTTTGCAGCAGCCATCCAGCCACTCTTCTTTTCCATCTGGCATGATGAATATTGGAATGATTTTATGGTCTTTTTCTACCTCATTGCAGTTGGTCTGGAGAGCGTGAATCTTCACGTTTTGTTTGCTGGCTGTTTTCCCAGCACCAAGAATCTGGCCTGGCACCTTACATAACACAATCGGTTCTCTGGGTCTGTGGGTTCTGTGTCTATGGGTTCTGCCCCGTGGATTCTGAAAATGTTCAGAAAAAAAAATTACATCTGTCTGAACACTCTTGCTGTTATTCTCTAAATACAGTGCAGTAGCTATTTACATAAGCATTCAATTTCATACATAATCTAGACATTATAAAACATATGGGAGGATGTGCATATGTCATATAGAGATACTATACCCCTTTGGGCTTCTGTGGTTTTTGGTGTTCTTGGGGACCCTGGACCCAGTCATCCTGGAATGGCAAGGAATGACTGTATTTGGAATGAATGAATCTTGATACTGTAACTACTCACACATCTGGGTGCATTGTCATGGGCAAGCCCATACTTCAGATAACTGCCACAGGACAAACTGGCACGGAGAGCAAAGGGCTGTTGGTTCAGGGGCTGTGGGTAGGATCCCAGAAGGACACAGACAGGGAGTGGTGGAGAGAGCCTGTGGGTGTGAAACAGGGCCCCCTGGATACCAGAAACGGAACAGCTTCGGGGTGGGGCCTTCTAGGTGCTGCAGTGAGCATGGGGAGAGAGGGCAGGATCATTGTGTATTGGCCACCTGAGTGCTTATTTAGGGTTTAGAAAACGGGACTGCATGGCTGTAGTTTAGGCATTCATTTTTAAGCTTTTTGAAATATATTTCAAGAAGTATATTTATCTTTAATAACACTATAGCTCCAGATAATTCTGACTTGATCATTTATGCACATGAAAGACAGCATGGCTTTTTTTTTTTTTCTTTTTTGGGCAAAGCTCCAGGGTATTTGGTGCATAATTTTCAAGATTTTTTTTTATAATGCTATTTAATTCTGGTTTTTTTTTTTTTTTTTTTGCTTCCAAAGAAAAATATACTACTGGAAGCAGCTTTTGCATCATTTATTTTTATGTTTGAGTTGTTTGGGAAATATTAACTTCATTTAAAAATAATGTGGAGAGAGGAAGAAAACCCACAGGCATGTGATTTAGTTTCTTATCTGTGGATATTAAAATATAGTAGAGCACTAAGGCTCTGGCATTTTAACTCAAAGGTTTTTGTTTTTTGGGTTTTTTTTTTTTTTTTAGTATTGATTCAGTTTTCTTCTATTAAGTTTTTTATTACTGTTTAAAAGGTGGATTACATTGCTTTTTGTAACTTCATAAATGAATTCTTTTCCCCATGAGAAAATGCTACTTCCATGGTGATTAATGTTAGTTTTTGTTTTGTGAATGAGCTTTTAAAATTGAGGGGGGAAGGAGTGGGGAAGAGAGTTTCTGAAAAGAAAATGCTTTTGTAGAATCATCTCGTTTGTGAAAATGAATTTGTCTTAGTGGATTAACTTTCCACCCAAAGTTTTCCATCAAGTTAAGCACTTTTGGGGCAAGATTCTGTGGTTCTCAGTTTTCAGACATCCAGGGAACACAAAACATGGAAGAAATGCTGTAAGCTCCCCACGGTTTTCTCAGAATAGCTGTCATTAGGAGAATCGCTTGGAAACGTTGCTTGTTCTTAATGCAAACAAGTGGTTTTTCCTTTGTCCATTTTGTTTAAACTCTGAACCCTCACTCAGACAAATTTAGCATAGGGAAACTCAGATTTACAGAGCCACTAAATTGCAGGGTTTGTGTGAGATTCTTCAGGGAGAATTTTTCACTTCCTTTAAAGGTAAATAAATGAAATTGAATCTAGCGGTATAGCTTATTTAAATAAGTTATAATAAATATAAGTTACAATAAATATGAAATATTTTAAAAATATTTTAAATAGATTTTATTTTATTTTTATTGGAAAGGCAGAGTTATAGAGATAGGAGAGACACATACAGAGAGAGAGCTTTCATCTGCTGTTTCATTCCCCAAATGTTTGCAGTGATTGGAGCTGGGTTGTTCCGATGTCAGGAGCTGGCAGCTTCTTCTGGGCTTCCAACATTGGTACAGGGCCCCAAGGACTTGGGCCATTGTCTGCTGCTCTCCCAAGTCATAAGCAGGGAGCTCAATCAGAAGTGGAGCTGCTGGGACTGGAGCTGGGGCCCCATGTGGGATGCTGGCACTGCGAGAGGCTTAGCCTGGTA